TTTAAGCTTCTTTATTAGACTCATAGACAGGGAAGGTGTCCAGCTAGCTGGCCTCACTGGCTCCCGGAACCCGAATCAGACGGTGTAGGATGGCTTCGGAGTTCAGGTTTCAGCGTTCAAGAAGAAGGCTTCGCGAAAATTTGGGCGCTTTGCTTTTCCGAGAAGGGTTGATTTAGGGTTCTTTAGGTTTTAGGGTAAATCCCCAAAACCTCTAAACCCCAAGCCTTAAACCCGAAGAACTGAAGGCTCTGCTAGCCTGAAAACCCTATACCTTAAACTCTACCCCCATATACTCTATTAGACCCCCTGCCCTGAACTTCTTTCCACACATCCCAAACCTGTATACTACAGAGGCCTTGATAAAATAGCATCGAGTTTTGGGCACCATAATTATACTGACAAAAATGAACCCTCAGAAACAGTGTGTGTATATATATATATATATATATAGCTAACTCTTCAAACTTCCATCTTATACCCTGAGCCCCACTATGCTGAACTTGGCAACCCTGCAAGAATTTTATGTTTTGCTGTTTCTCAAGAATTATACCAGCCAAAGACGAAACTCGTTTCCAAGTACCCCTTTGCCCCAAAGAACTCGTAAACCCCTAAACCCCTAAACCCCCAAACCCCTAAACCCCTAAACCCCTTAACCCCCAAACCCCTAAACCCCTCAACCCTTAAACCCCTAAACCCTAACCCCAAAAACCCTAAACGCTAAACCCTGGACCCTAAACCCCTAAACCCCTAAATGCTAAACCCCTAAACCCCTAAACCCCTAAACCCTAAACCCTAAACCCTAAACCCTGAACCCCTAAACCCTAAACCCTAAACCCTAAAGGAAAAGTGAGGCCCCCGGCTCCGAAAGGGAGGGCCCGGCTGGGGTGTGATGCCCCCACCCCCCCCCGCTGGCGGGGTCCCAAGAGCTGCGGAGTCGTTCTCGCAGTAGGGCTTATAGGGTTTATAGGGTTTATAGGGTTTAGGGTTTATAGGGTTTAGGGTTTATAGGGCTTATAGGGTTTATAGTGTTTAGGGTTTATAGGGTTTAGGGTTTAAGGTTTAAGTCCAACCAAAAGCTCCACATGGGCAATGTAGGGGCCTTATAAGAACTAGAATAGGGTTTGAGGCATATTGTCGTATCATCGTAATAAGGAACCCCCCAACATTGCATAGGAAAGTATATAAAGGCCCCCTATATTTAGTTCTCTCAATTTCGGTCCCTGTTTGGGGGACCGAACTCCAAACTCTGAGGTGTCTTACATCGGGGGCCTTTCGCACTGGATCCTGCCATTCAGGTTTAGGGTCTAGGGTGTAGGTTTTAGGTTCTAGGGTTTAGGGTTCAGGTGTAGGGTTTAGGGTTTAGGGTTTAGGGTTTAGGGTTTAGGGTTTAGGGTTTAGGGCATCATGCCGAATTTCTGTGGCGCTAGTCGGGGTGATAGAGACCCCCGGTATGTTCATGAGCCTAAGACTGAAGACCATCGGTAGGAGGGCGAACGGGAAAGCTCGCAGGCCCATCTAGCAAGGCCTGCACTAATTACTCTCGGGGCCTAAATAATTACCAATAGTACTTTGGTGGTCGGTATTATAACCATAACATAAAATAACTTTGGTGGTCGGTATTATAACCATAACAGAAAATAAACCCTAAACCCTAAACCCTAAACCCTAAATGCACCCCAAAACCCATCTTCTGACTATATTCAGGTCCCTATATTTCTTACCAGATCTGACGGAGAGGGCCTGGAGTGCAGGGATTCGTGGGGCTTCAGATGTTTCAGGCTCTTCGAGTCTTAGAGTTTAAGGCTTAGAGTTTAGGATCTTTAGGGTCTCAGGGTTCGGATCTTTAGGGTTTAGGGGTTTAGGGTTTAGGGTTTAGGGTTTAGGGTTTAGGGTTCTTCCCCACCCTCGGTGTGGGGTTGTTAGATTTTAACGTCAGCTATTTCTCCTCGCCCTCTGAGACTACCTCCTGGATTGCCCAACCCCACAGACTAGCATGAGACTCCCTGGAGCGCCCAACCCCACAGACTACCGTGAGGGTGGGGATGTTCGAAGTAAAATAATTAGGGTTTTTGGGTTTTAGGGCTTTAGGGTTTAGGGTTTCAAGGTTTAGGGCTGAGGGTTGTTAGAGTTTAGGAGTTTGGGGTCTAGGCAAGCGCAGCTACGATGCAATACAAGAATGCTGCAGTGTCAGCAGACGCAAGGACCGGGGTCGGGGATTCCAGACGTGATAGAAGTGACAGACCCTGACAAGCACAGTTTGCAATAATATATATATATATACATATATATATATATATATATATACATATATATATGTATATATATATATATACTTGCCCCTAAACCCTAAACCCCTAAACCCTAAGCCTAAACCCTAAACTAGCTCTTTAAGCCCTATGCCCCGAATCCTAAACCCGAAGCGGAAGCCAAATCACGCTCAGCTTTTTGCGCCCGGAACTCCTGGAACATCCATGTCCATGTCCATGCATGGAGGTGTCATCTGTAGTGTCGACTTGGGTGCTATAGCATCTTTGTGCCATACCCCCTTCTTCCTTGATGTTCAAGAGCCGTGGCAGTACTTTCGACTTCACAAGCTCGAAGCTCTACAGAGGTTGCGAGGTCGGAGGAGGGTCTGACGGATCTCTGATGACGGCTTTCTCCTCGCTTGTAGATGAAACTTGCTACACCCGTCAGAAGCAACATCGAGATGACCGGTGATGCTTTTGATTCTGGCTGCCCAGAAACAATGCGGACCACGAACATGCTATCGTTCACCCTAAGCGTCCATGTACTACCTTTGCAATGCAGCATACAGGTCGTATAAACAATAAGTGTAATCGTTATTAGGGTTTATAAGGGCTTAGGGTTAAGTCCAATTTACATATCCCTAAACCCTAAACCCTAAACCCTAAACCCAGACCCTAGACCCTAGACCCTAAACCCTAAACTGTATACACTATAGGTGTACCTTGAAAAAGGAATCTTGCTAATAGCTCGGAGATCAGGTCTAGACTCGACGGCTTGTAAGCTAGGCCCTAAAGTAGTTCCTTCTTGGGTTCATATTTAGAATCCTATTAGGGAATCCCAAAATGGAACTACTATGGGGCCTATAGGTAAGTCGTGCTTACTGTTGAAGCCACCGGGATGGTAAGACACTGCACTCGACACTTCGCCCTAAACCTAAACTAAACCCTAAACGCTAAGCCCTAAACCCTACCCTAACCCCTTGCTCCAGAAATGTCGATATACTGACGATATCGACTTTCGCTGTCCGCTACCTCCAGCCTGAGCCGAAACGACCCAGGTGTTTTCCTAGGACCCCGAAACCGTAAACCTTATAGAACCAACACAAATTCCTGCCGAATATACAAGCAAGTACCAATATTCAAAGCATAGTATACCCCAAGACCCTACTCAAACTATTAATTAATAAGGTCCCTCTATACTAAACCCTGAACTTCCCACAGGCTCAGGTCGAGAAGATGATGGGAACAATCCGCTCGACCTGGCTGAGATTGTCCTTTCGCTCGTGGCTGATGTTTTGTTCGGGCTTAGGGCTTACCGTCCCTTATTATGATTTCGTTCTATAAGTCCTTAAAAAGGTAAGTTATTTGGCGTTAAGTTTAAGGTTTAGATGAAAAGCTTGGGTTTCGGCAAGACCCGTAGGCCCTGAAAACCTGCAGATGCGAAACCCTAAAGCCTTACAGCCCGAACCCTAGACCCTAAACCCTGAACCCCAAAAAAGCTAGCGGAAAGGAACCCAAAGGGTTCCGTTAAGCGAGCCGATAGGGTTTAGGGTTTAGGGTACTGTAGGGTTTCCTGAAACGGTGCCCCAAATTTACAAAGTCTCCAGATTCCCAACTGCAAGGATGACGGCGCGGCGAGTGCAGCTGCTGCAGAATCCTTGACGTCCTGCCAGGTGCAGGCTGGGGCCAAATGGTTCAGAGGCTTACCTAGACCCCCCTACTAGCCTCTAATATAGCCTAAATATCCCATAAGGGCTCTATTAAAGGGGCTTTGGGGGGGGTCCTGGTAGGGTTCGGAGTTTAAGGTTTAGGATTTCGGGTTTCGGGCTTCGTAGTCTAGGATAGTTCAGGGCATAAACGCTAAACCCTAAACCCTGAATCCCTGAATCCCTAAGCCCTAAACCCTACATCCCTAAACCCTGAATCCCTGAATCCCTAAGCCCTAAACCCTACATCCCTAAACCCCTTAACCCTAAACCCCTAAACCCTAAGCCGCTGGAGGGCCGGGCAGCGATTAATGGTTACACACCAGGATGAAGCTCCGGCGCCAGAAACCCCCATTATAGAGCCCCCCCCCCATTCATTGCAGCCGTTAGACAACCAATAACGGAAGGAGTCCTCTGAAGGATCCTTATCGAAACCTTACCCTGGAAGCCACATGAACTTGGTGAGACTCGTTCAGGAATGATTTCGGTTGTTTTTTGTTGTGGCGATTGGTTCTGAAGAGCCCTAAACCGGGCTGACTTGTGACCTACAGCCGAATTTGCCGAAGACTTTCCGAAGGCGAAATGAAGTACCTCGGGAGCTGCATTGCAGGGCTTTGGTGGGTTTACCGTTCCGGATTCAGTAAGGACTCTAGCTTTCAAGGCAGTGTTGAAGGGCTGTGAGTTTAGTGAGCAACGGGTTCCAGAATTGCCGATGCAAGGATAATTAAAGCCTGCGTTGCGCAGACCCTTGCTTACGAAGATGGGCTTCAGGCTATTGAACACTCAACTGAACTTAACAGCTTGAAGTCTCAAGCAAGGCTACACGCCTGCATGTCTCCCAGCACAAATTTCAACACCCGTGGCAGCATCGACTAGTCTGAAACCAAACAACTTCTGTGCACCAAGCATGTGCGACTGCCAGATTCAGATTACACTACTATCCTTTATGCGGGCTGCAAATGGCTATTCACATTGCATCGGTGCACCGCATCCTCATGCCTCACCGGCATGACGTGAGCTACCTAGAATCCCACATCCGCAGAAACAGCTACACCACCAGGGATGTGGTGTTTGCCCCACAGAGCAGACTTGCGAAGCTCGTCTCCCACTGGTCGATGCTACGCCAGCGCACTCCCGCTGTGATTTCCCAGCCTTCGGCGCTCGGAGTAGTGAAGCCGCGGTCGTCGATTGCTACCCGGAGAGTCTGAAAATCCATCAGATCTGTGGGAGACCAGAAAGGTAATGTGCTCACAGCTACGGCATCATAGATCACGGAAGAGCGGACAGAACTTGCAGGGCCTTTCGGGCCATCCAGGACTGGTCGCCAAGGACATCGTGGGAGCCATGTCTGGAACATCTGCAGGAGTGCATGGACAGTGGGCACATACTCCTGACACTGCAGCAGCCTCCTAAACTGAAGCCCATCTATCTGAGCTAAACCAGCCACATCCAAGGGTGCAGTGACATTGAGATGGGCATAGAGCTTGCGAGAACTCGCGACATCTGCCCTGACATTCCACTCAGCAATGCGGCCTCCGGTTCCGTTGTTTCCACGCCAAATGCTTCCTCCCATGGCATGGATGGAGGCAACGTGGCTTAACCTGAGTGTGTCCGAGTGTGTGCAGTGCTTCGCTTATAGGTGTTACAGTGCTACGTAAGATAGACATCAACCTGTTGGTGCTGATGCTGTCGATGGCAGCGGTGCTTACATTGACTGCCATTTCAAGCACGTTGGATGCATTAGATTGGCGAAAAGGCATGCTTGCCAAAGATTAACTGCAGTTGGTGGCCTGGAATATTGTTGCTGCTGCCGTCGTGGTTGTGGGTGTTGGAAGTCGTCGTCGTCGTGGCTGTTGTTGCTGGTGCTGGTGCTGGTGCCGGGAACTAGTCCTGCTGCTCACGCTGTGGTGCTGGTGATGCAGGTGACGCTGGTGAGGCTGCATGGAGATGCTGGCTATGCTGGCGGTGGTTGTGTTGGTGGTGGTGGTGGTGGTGGCGGTGGCGGTGGCGGTGGCGGTAGCGGTGGCGGTGG